TAGGGCGATAAAAACTTGAGTGCCCTTTCCTCTTCTATCTAACCCATTCCCAGGTTTATGTGTTGCTGTTTAGGAAAAAAGAGCCTGGAGTACATTAGTACATTTAGTGTTTCAAAGAGCAGTGAGGGAAGGTGTTGGTGCAAATATAAGGGCACAGATTCAGAAAAGAACATTTCAACATCACAAGAGAGGATAAAAACCATATGATCATTTCAATAGATGCAGAAAAAGCATTTGACAAAGTACAACATCCATTCATGATAAAAACCCTCAACAAAGTAGGCTTGAGGGAACACATCTCAACATAATAAAGGCCATATATGAAAAACCCATAGCTAACATCATACTCAATGCTGAAAAGCTGAGAGCTTTCCCCCTACAGTCTGGAACAAGACAAGGATGTCCACTCTCATTTTTATTCAACATAGTACTGGAAGTCCTATCCACAGCAATCAGACCAGAAAAAAATAAAAGGCATCCAGATCAGTAAGGAAAAAGTAAAACTTCCACTCTTTGCAGATGACATAGTATTACATGTAGAAAACTTAAAAGACTCCACCAAAATACTACAACTGATAAATGAATTCAATAAGGTTGTAGGATACAAAATCAACATACAGAAATCCATAGCATTTCTATGCACTAACAATGAAGTAGCAGAAAGAGAAATTAAGAAAACAAATCCATTTATAATTGCATCAAAGAATGAAATGCCTAGGAATAAATTTAACCAAGGAGGTGAAAAACCTGTACTTTGAAAACTATAAAACACTGATGAAACAAACTGAAGACAACACAAATGGAAAGACATTCCATGCTCATGCATTAGAAGAGCAAATACTGTTAAAATGTCTATACTGCCCAAAGCAATCTACAGATTCAATGCAATCCCTATGAAAATACCAACAGCATTTTGCGCAGAACTAGAACAAATAATCTTAAAATTTGGATGGAACCACACAAGACCCTGAATAGCCAAAGCAATCTCGAAAAACAAAACTGGAGGTATCACAATCCCAGACTTCAAGTTATATTACAAAGCTATAGTAATCAAACAGTATGATAACTAGCATAAAAATAGACACACAGATCAATGGAATAGAGAGCCAAGAAATAAACCCACAATTATATGGTCAATTAATCTTCAACAAAGGAGGCAAGAATATGCAATGGGAAAAAGTCTGTTCAACAAACAGTGTTGGGAAAACTAGACAGCTATGTGCAAACAAATGAAACTAGACTACTTTCTGTCACCATACACAAAAACAAATTAAAAATGATTAAAGACCTAAACATGAAACTAAAACCATAAAAATCCTTGGAGAGAGTAGGCAGGCGATAATCTCTCTGACAGCAGCTATAGCAACATTTGTCTAAATAGGTCTCCTAGGGCAAGGGAAATAAAAGAAAAAAAGAAAAAAAAAACTATTGGGACTGCATCAAAATAAAAAGCTTCTACACAGCAAAGGAAACAACAAAACAAAAAGATAACCTACTGAATAGGAGAAGATATTTGCAAATGACATATCCAATAAGGAGTATCAAAGATATATAGAGAACTTCTATAACTCAACACCAAAAAAGCAAATAATCCAATTACAAAATGGGCAGAAGACATGAACAGGCGTTTATCCACAGAAGACATCCAGATGGCCAACAGACTGAAAAGATGCTCAAAATCACTCATCATCAGGAAAATGCACATCAAAACTACAATGAGATATTACCACCTCACACCTGTCAGAATGGCTAAAATCAAAAGCCCAAGAAACAAGTGTTGGTGAGGAGGTAGAGAAAAACGAACCCTCTTGCACTGCTGGTGGAAATGCAAACTGGTGCAGCCACAGTATGGAGTTTCCTCAAAAAATTAAGAACAGAATTACCATATGACCCAGTAATTCCACTACTGGGTATTTACCCAAAGGAAATGAAAATACTAATTCGAAAAGATACAGGCACCCCTATGTTTACTGCAGCTTTATAATAGCTAAGATATGGAAGCAATGCAAGTGTCCATTGATAGATGAATGGATAAAGAAGATGTGTATATATGTGGTGTATATGTATAATGGAATATTACTCAGCCATAAAGAATGAAATCTTGCCATTTGCAAAAACATGGATAGATCCAGAAGGTATAACATTAAGTGAAATTAAGAGAGAAAGAAAAATGCCATATGATTTCATTCATGTATGGAATTTAAGAAACAAAATAAACGGAGAAAAAAAAGAGAAAAAATCAGACTCTTAAATAGAACTGGTGATGGGTGAGGAGATGGGTAGGGGGATGGGTGAAATATGTGAAAAGGATGAAGAGCACACCTATCATGATGAGCACTGAATAATGTATAGAATTGTTGAATCGCTATATTGTATACCTGAAATAATGTAACACTGTATATTGATTATACTGGAATTAAAATTTTTAAAAAATAAGTTAGAAAAAAGGGTAACATTTCAGTTATCAAATATATATTCAAAAGAAATAGGGGTGGGGAATCAGGGTACAAGCTTAAATTCTAATTTCAGTTCCACATTTATTACCAGAATAGATTGCCCAGATTAAATAATTTTCCTCAAAAACAAAAACATTTCTACTTTTTCAGTTAAAAAAAATCTAAGCATAATTAATTAGAAATGTGATGAGACCCTGAATGTCCATTAGTGAAAAAGAAAGTTATCGCAACAATTATACTGAACACTATTTCAGGAGTTCTGAATTTTATTTTATTTTTTAAAGATTTTATTTATTTGAGAGAGAGAGAATGAGAGACAGAGTACGAGCGGGAAGAGGGTCAGAGGGAGAAGCAGACCCCCTGCTGAGCAGGGAGCCCGATGTGGGACTCGATCCCGGGACACCAGGATCATGACCTGAGCTGAAGGCAGTTGCTTAACCAACTGAGCCACCCAGGCGCCCAGGAGTTCTGAATTTTAAAGCAAAGAATATTAAACAGGAATATAACAAATTTTTAATTTTAGATATGTTGTTTTTATTCAAAAGAATAACTGCTTGACAACCTAAGTCACAAAGTTTGGACCAAACCACCAGTCCACTGAAACAGCCCTTTGAAGTTTGTATCCGCACAGCCACAGGGACTGAAAAAGTCCTTTCGTCCCTTGTTGCTCTCAAATGCTGAGAATTGTAAGCTGAAACCACTATTCTAGTGGACAGTGAGAATAATTGTTTCCACCATCTTGTTCCCCACAAGAGCTGCCCAAAGTTATCTTCTGCTCCTGGGGTTGGACCATCTGTTTTTGTGAAAGTTACATATTGCAGTTTACAAAAATCCAAATTGTTCCTTTGATTTATACTATCTAACTGAATCATAGAAGCATTACTATGCTTAAAACACTGATCGATTCTACTTGCTTTAAATACTTTCTCAGATCCCTTTCACATTTATTATCAATGATCAGTAAAGATGACATAATAAGCAGGCCTAAAATTCTGAGATGTCCACATGTTCCCTTTTCAGTTTAATAAGACTTCACATTATTATATAGTGTTTTTGTATGTTACAGAAGTTGGTACAATACATCTCTACTGGGAAAATCTTAGAAGGAATTCCAAATATTACAGTAAAACTGTAACTAGAAAAGCGACACGTGAAGCAGAATACATGCAGAGAAAATTAAATCCTTTCAAAAAAATGACATTGCTGTAGCCCCACACCAAATCTGTAATTGGCGAAAAATATGTTTCTAGTCTGGTAAATGGTGGCATAGCAAAGTCCCAACTCATTAGCTTTTTAACTTGGTGACTGCAGCTGAAATGTTTTCTAAGAATCATGCCACCATATTGGACATTTGATTTAGAGGTGTAGAATTAGGATTCATGAAATCTTGATACGTAATCTTTCTAGACCTCTTAGAATCACCTAAGTGATGCTACTCCAGTGTGTTTTGAGACTTCCCCCAAGGATTCCAGTTTCTCTCCTGCTTCCCCTCTTCATAATAACCTTCACATCTATTTGAACCCATACTAAGGAGTTTACTAAGAGTCCAATACCTGTTTAGTCACTTATTTGTGCATGGCTTCAGACCAAACTTTGACGTGTAACATATGGATTTCATCTATGAAAAGGAAGGCAGTGCCCTGCCTTCCTCACATAACTGTCCTAAGGATAAAAGGTCAAGTAGGCGAGAAATGCTTTAATTATAATGTGCTATATTTAAGCATTATTGTTTTCTCTATGACAAGCAACAGCTTTGTCCTACACCCAAATTAGAAAAGTTATTGATATTTCATTCAGCATCTCATTCATTCATGACTAATCTGATGAACTTTAGAGAACGTGATAGATTTGGGTTTTCTCTCCCTATCAATACCTAACAAGGTTCACTAATACATGAATGGACAGTATGACAGAGCCAACACTGACCCCTTGGCATCGATTGCCCTGCTGTCCAGTTCACAGATGAGCAGTACCAGCTGAGGGAGTTAGTTCATAACACTTGTGGTTTTGATTCTTCTAAAACAGAAAACTGCAGATGAGGGCATTAGGTACTTATGCTGTAGCCATCAAAAATAGCAAGATAACTTTCTTATTGAACTGCCTCAGACAACATTTGCTCATTTTGTATTAGACCAGAGGAATGTGGGCTATATGCTGCCATCTAGGGACAGTATTACAAAAGTTTCTCACAAGAGAAAACAAAATTTGTCGTCCATTCTGTTGGTATAGCTCACCAGTAATTTCTCATCAAATTTAAATAGTGTTCCTATACCCCTCCCAAGGGTTTTGATGCTCATTGCCATGAAAATCTACTTTCCTCAGAAATTCATCAAACTACTATGTGTTTACAGTATCACAGAAATTCCTGAAAAAAATTTCCTTTTCCAAGTTACTTTTATATATTATTCCTATAAAAGGACCAGACTCTTCTTTAAATGTCACAACTGAGAAAATCATGTGTGCTGACTGCAGATAAATGTTTTGTACCTTGTTAATTCTTCTATTGATTAAGAAGTGTTTTATAAACCAGAACATGAAATCAAATTATAAACTTCAAGTTCCTTCTTTTACTTTTAGCTGATAGCAAAGAATTATATCAGGATAGAAAAGCATAACTGCTACAAGTGCATAAAACATAGCTAGCACTAAAAGACACATTGACTTTCCCCCAAAATTGTACAACATTTTATTGTAACAAAAATAATTAGATGCATCTCATAGCAATATATTATCATATAGGTACACACTGAGAAGGATAAATTGGATAAACTGTAAAACAATATCTTACTATACATCCAATTAATGAGTAATTTTTGGAAAAAGAAAAAGATATAAAATCATCCCTTTTTATATAATTCTATGTTTTTTTCCAGAGACTTTATAGACAACACAATCAAGATTTAATTATAAATTATTATAATTCTATCCTTAACATTAGAACCTGTAATGTAAAAATTCCAGTCATATCTTGGTAGGCATTTGCCAAATGAAATCAAATGTTTGTCATACATGGTTTTAAGCTTGTACAATAATATTCAAATACTGTATACTGCCACGGGCCCTTCTGTCTGATTTCACACATTAGCTGAAATATTTTTAGTAAACTTCCATTTTTTCACCTGTTTAGTCTCTGTGTTATCACTTCTCGATACATAATAGAGATGTAGATGAGCAACAAAAAGATGACAAAGAAATCATCTAGAAAGCCTAGAATTCCAAACAGGGCTTCAGGTACAAAATCTAGAGGTGATATAAGATAGAAAAAAGCTCCCATTAAACAAAGTATTATCCTGATGCGGAACATCCAGAAAAGGCCCCCGACTGAAAACATTTCCCTGAATGCATGCCTCAGTAAAGTGGGTAGATCCATAATTCTTTCCATAATCTGGTGGGGGAAGAACAAGATATGATTTGTCATCTAGTATGTCAGGTATCAATATATTTTCTTACAATGTGCAAACTCAGTAAACATGAATTAAGGAATTTCACATATTTTCTAGTTAAGCATTTTATTTAAAAACAGATCTTTGATAACTAGGTTCTTCTAAAATAGATCTTACTGCAAATAACTGAAAAGCAACTAAAATGTCAACAAACTTAAAATACAGGATATAGTGAGGCAAAACTTAAGTCCTCTCTAATTTGAATTAGTAAAATAAACCAAATGAAGCACTTAGTGTATATAGGATTAGAGCTTGAGGCTTGAGCTGGGTCTGGGTTTAAACTCAAAGTCAATCTCTTAGTAGTCAGGTAACCTTGGGGAAAGTTGTTTAACCAAATTGAGATCGAGCAACAACTAACCAAGTTTGTGTCACAAGGACTATTAAGAACTAAAAGATACTGTATACAAAAGACCTTTATACATTGCCAGACAATATAGAAGTAGTATACATTAAAGACACATTAACTTGGATGACTTTGATAATCTAAGAATAGCAATAAAACGAAACGGACTCCTTCCTAGGATGTTTATTTGGTTTAGCTGGAGTTTAAGTGAATTACTAATTGCCAAAAGATTTTTGGAATGCCAGACCCTACCTTTATGAAAATGATTATGTTTCTGAATATGTACAAAAACATCAATTACTAGGTTTTTACATAGTAAGCATAATTTTCACAGCCGAAAACAATTACATAAATTTTTGAAAATTGAGGCATTCAGAGAAATTGGAACCCTCACACATTATTGGTGGGAATGAACAGCCTCTTTGGAAACAGTTTGGCAGTTCTTCTAAATGTTAAACAGGATTACCATAATATCCAGCAATTCCACAATGAGGCATATACCCAACAGGAATGAAAATATGACTCCACACAAAAACTGGTACACAAATATGAATGGAAGCATTATTCATAATAGCCAAAAAGTGTAAACAATTCAAATGCTCATCAACTGACAAATGGATAAACAAAATGTGATATATATCACTTGGCCATAAAAAGCAATGAAGTTATGATATATTTCACAACATGGATGAACCTTGAAAACACTATGCTAAGTGAAATAAGCCAGAGACAAAAGGCCATATATTATATGATCTCATTTCAATGAAATGATGAATATCCAGATTAGCCCAATCTATAGAGGCAGAAAGTAAATTAGTAGTTACCAAGGACTGGGGTGAATGAGAAGGGATGCCAAAGCTTTTGGGATGATGAAAATATTCTAAAATTGGATTATGACAATAACTAGATTATATTTACTCTGAATACACTAGAGACCATTGAATTATATAAACAGGTTGCCCTTTATGATGTGTAAAATACATCTAAATAAAGCTGTTAACAAAAGAGTACTAATATCTATTTGTATAACCTTGAGCAAGTTAGTTTATCCTCTGCCTGCAAACTTTGCATTTGTTTTGTGTAGTCTGTTTGGACTATATGGTCCTGTGTAGTAATGAACTACCATGACTTCTCAACATAACTTCTTTCACGATCTCATTTGTCAGGGGCTGGTAGATACAGAGAAACTGACCAGAGGAAGAAAGTCACTTCCTGTGGTTATTCCACTGGGCACAGTTCAGCTCTAATTAACAATCTGTGTAATTACAATATGTCCAAGTATGTATTTTGTTTGTTTCACGAGTGCCAAGTAAGTAGAGAGGGAAGTGGAGACAAAAATGGGAAGAACTGAGCAAGTGATAAGGAAAGAGTTTTATAAACTCCACCAGGTAGTCCTGTAAATCCTTTTTGGAAAACTGATCACAAAACACCAAAATGGTCTTTTTAGAATCAGTTCCTATGTTAATTTTCTATTCTCTACTGGAGCAACTAACATTTAAACCAAAACAGCAGCACAACTTTCACAAGTCTATGGTAAGTTGTTTTAAATATTCTAGGGACCAGCTAGTGTATCTTTTGAATACTTTTCTGTCCTTTATCAGAGCTGTTCGTTCACTTCTCATATCATTTATACAAAATCTATAATAAGTAGATAAGAAGTATGAAATGGATTACTAAGAAATGTTTGTATATTAATCACATTCTTACTCCAACTTTGGATGAGGCAGAATATTATAGTAAGAGCTAAATGTCTCTATTACACTGTAATTTCATCACATACCGGACTCGTCAAATATCTGACACCTACCAAAAATTGAGCAATGATATGCTTCACACCTAAAAACAGGAATGAATATCTCAAAATGATTTTTTTTTCTTAAGTTCAGTGGTAGGTCTTGAATTTGGAACATGTTGATTTTCAAAGAATCATCCTACAGATGACACTGGAGGATATGTAAAAAAAAAAAAATTGCTGGATGAAAAATAGCAGAAGAGGCCCCCAAATAACTGTGAAGGACAACAATGATTGGATTAACTTTCTTTTTGTTTAAACATCTAGAAGATTTACCCGTTATCCACAAAAGCTGAAACTGTATGCCCTTAAATGTACATGACATCACAGTGTAAGAAATACATGCAAGGAAGCACAAGAGTACACAAGTGTTTAATACTGAAGCATTTTAATAGCTTATATTCTTGGCTGAGAGTAGTAGTATCAATTCTTAACCATAACTCATTAATTTATTCAACAAATATCAAAGGCTTACTGTATCCCAGGCACTGAAACTGGTGATGAGAATATAGCAGTGGATATATAAATATAGTTCTTGCCCTCATGAAGCTTTTAGTCTACTGAGAGAAAGATAATGAACAAGATTTGAGTATGGTTTGTGACAAATCTACAAAGGAATGGTGCAGAGGACAGTGATAGAGAATACCTTAGTTGATCAGGGAAAGCCTCTCTTAGGAAGGTCTACTTAAGAACGACCTAAAGGGGGCGCCTGGGTGGCTCAGTCGTTAAGCGTCTGCCTTCGGCTCAGGTCATGATCCCAGGGTCCTGGGATCGAGCCCCGCATCAGGCTCTCTGTTCAAAAGGGAGCCTGCTTCTCCCTCTCCCACTCTGCCAGCTTGTGTTCCCTCTCTCACTGTCTCTCTCTGTCAAATAAATAAATAAAATCTTAAAAAAAAAAGAATGACCTAAAGGATGAGAAGTCAGCCATGAGAAGAGCAGAGGGACAAGCATTCCCAATAGAGGGGTCATGTGTGAAGGCATTAAGATGGGAAGACTTGGAGTGTATTTTGAGAGCTGAAAAGCGGCTGGTGGAGGTGAAGCATTTTGGGTGAGGCTTGGGGAGGCACCAGGTCATGTAGGGCCTTGTAAACAGAGGAAGGAGTTGGAACATTATTCCAAAATATTGGAAGTTTTAAAATACAAGAATATCACGGTCTTACTTACGTTTTCAAAATATTACTCGGGCTGCTGTGCAGAGAAAAAAGTCACAGTGAAGAGGCCATTTGCAGTTATTATCCTAAGCAAGAGATGATGATGGCTTAGGCTAGTATGATGGCTACAGATACAGGACATTTTTATGAGCTAAAAATGACAGGATCTCCCAAAAGGAGAAAAGAAATGATACAACTTATTTATATATCAGATGAGGGGAATGAGGGAAAGGAAGAAATCAAAACAGCTGAGTAAGACAGAAAAGAATACACTGAGTTGAGGAGGGAAGCAATTCAATATTGTACATACCATGTTTGAGATGACTATGGAGCATCCAAGTGGAGATGTAAGCCAAGCACTTAGACATATGCTCTAGAGCTCAGAGGAGAGGTCTAGGCTTTCCATATAAATTTGTATTTACAATATTGATTTCTGAAGTACATACTTAGTCATGCACACACTTCTAGAATTCTTTTGTTAGATTTTGAAAAAAACTGGAATGAGCCAGTAAAATGTGACAGTTTTTAATCTATCACATGCCTTTTTTTGAGGGGAGGAGGTCAACTATTAAATTAATGTGTTCTTTAAAAATCAAATGCTTTTGAGTAACTAAAATGACATAACAAAAAAACCTCCCCAACACCTAGAGTTACTTCAAAGAGGAGGTCAGGGTAAATAAAAAAGTGGAAGACACAATTGTAAAACTCTCCAGAAGTTCTCAGTTATAAGTTTCTCATTGGATAATCACTATTTTAGATTTGCACAGGAGCCGTGCTTGCTTTGGCAGCACATATACTAAGATTTGCACGGGAGTCAGTAATTTCACATTTCCCTCCAATTTTTCTTTTTTTTTTCTTCTGGAATCTCTTTCATAAAGATTTATAATGCCTTTTTTTTTGTTTAGATAGAAAACTGTAGTCCTTGGGAAAGCTGTAACTCAGTGATTGACAACAAGGATGAAGTTTATTTTGTTTTATTTAAAGATTTATTTATTTATTTGAGAGCGAGAATGAGAGAGAGAGAGAAAGAGAGTACATGAGAGCGGGGAGGGTCAGAGGGAGAAGCAGACTCCCCGCTGAGCAAGGAACCTGATGCGGGACTCGATCCCGGAACTCCAGGATCATGACCTGAGCCAAATGCAGTCACCTAACCAACTAAGCCACCCAGGCGCCCCAACAAGGATGAAGTTTAAAACTTTACCCAACACACATAAACAATGAGACTTTTTATAGTCAAAGAATACTTGTTGGTTAATCTCACCTTACCAAAGAGAAGTATCATTATACTCTAACTTTGTACCTGCTATAACAATACTTACAGATCTGGGCTGCCCTGAGAATCTCCGGTTATAATCATTAATATCTTGGCGCAATGATACAACATCCTGAGATTGGTCATTTTCACCAAATACTGTTAGCAGTAAAGTCACCTGTATATTACAAAAAGAAAAAATTGTTATACCTTTCTGCAGCATTTTTTTTCATTTTGTGTTATTATTCAATAGAATGAAAAAAGCTTCTAAATTTATATTTCACTCATTTTGTTTTTTTTCACTCATTTCTTTTAATAAAGGCAACATGGGGAGGAAAGTAAGTTATTATTGCCTTGTAATAAAATCCAATGCAAAATGTAATTTGAATTCCCATAAAATCAAATGGGTACCTCAACCAAACACTGGTTCTAATATTTTCCAGGTCACGCCAGGGATAGTCAGTAGTTCTCTGTTTGGGCTAACAAATATTTGAAGATATAAGAATGATGAGAAAATACTCAGGAGTGAAGTGACATAAAAATACATGTTTATCATTGTGAGAGCGAAAAATTAGGGATTTCTTTTGTGATTAAAATCATTATTCTTCAACCTCACTGGTATTTGAAATATCTTTGAATGCTACCAAACATAATACAGAGATTAAGTTATTGCAGGGACCCACTCTCAAGCACCCATCCCTACTATCATCAAAAAAGGTAATTCTTGATACTGATATATAATGTTAATACTTTTAACCTGGTTTCCTCCATGGTAGAGATAAGGATACACAAATGTCCCAGGACCCATACTGAGGTCATCTGAAGATGACAGTATCTTGAAAAATAAGTACATTTTAAAATATATCAATGCCTATAGAAATAGTCACTGTACAAGGAGATAAAAATGGGAAGGAGCAGTGACACATTTAGGTTTAAATCATCTAGCTGTTTTTATCCTTCCTCAACTCAGCTGTAAAACCTGGACTTCCCACTATGCAGATGCTTTCCAAACAGCCAAACAAAGGAGTGATGAAGAGCAGTAGGTGGTAGGGAAGCAGGTACAGCCTCTCTTCACAAATTTGCTAATAAAAGTACATCTTTCAATGACTAATAAGTGAGCACTTACTGTAGGCCAGGCACTGTGCTAAGTGCTACACAGACCCCAAAACTGAAGACATAGCCCTGCCCCCTGCTGACCACAACACCCAAGATAGAAGGGGAGGCAGACCTGTTATAAGGCGCTGGTGGTGGGGGTTATTATGACACTTGAGAATAAGGACTTCTGCCTCGGGTGCCCAGAAAGTGGAAACATAAGCTGGCCCTTGAAGTGCAGCTCGGGCCACTGGTATGTGAGCGTATGCATTCAGGAAGAGAAGTGGTGAGCATGTTACAGTCAGAAGCAGCAATCTGTGCACTACAGCCAGTGACACAGGGTGGGGAACAGGGAGCGGCCACCCGTCCTACTTCCAGGAGGAATTATTCTCTAGTTAGGGAAACAAAAGCTATTATATAAAAACAATTTTATCTCTACCTTTCTAGATTCTAGCAATTTATGGGTGGTCAAAAGGAGATCACCTGCTAATACATACATACCCCATTGAAAAGCCATGGATGGAGCCAAGAAGAGGGGACAGGTGTGAACTAATAATTCTTTAGTGTGAGACCCATGGCCTGGTCTCAGTGTTGCCGGAAGATAGCTAAAGATTATGAGAGGTCATACTGGCAAGTAAACTTCACCGTTGACTGACTTGTTTCACATAATCAAATCAGCCAGAGAGGCAGTACAAACAACAACAACAGAAAACCCCCCCAAAACGATTTTCCTCCTGCCATGTAATACAAAGTCAAATGTAAAAGAGGCAGAATTTGGGAATGTAGAAGCAAGGGGGAAAGAAGATAAATCCCTGAACCTCCCTCTCTACACCAAAAAATGAGGCAGTGATGCAGGTAAGTGGATAGCCAGAACAAAAGTTGAAAGAATGTGTGTGTGTGTGTGTGTGTGTGTGTTTAACAATACATGCTATATGGTTTTATTCATATAAAGTCCAAAATCACACAAAACTAGACAATAATCTTAGAGGTGCATGCTAAGGTAATACAGAAAATCAAAGAAATGCTTATCATAAAAGTCATTTATGGAGTAGCCTCTAGGAGAGGAAGGAGGGGGTGGAGATTTGGTCCTGAGGCTTCTGGGGGCTGCTGGCCAGTTCCTATTTCTTCATCTGAGGTGATTATCTAAGTGTTGCTTTGTGATAATTCAATGAGCAGTACTTCTATGTTTTGTGTGCTTTTCTGTATGTCTGTTATAGTTTACAAAGAATTTTAGAAAAATTGTTGCCTCTTCTACCATTTTGTTTCATTTTTTGATCTCTGTGGGTTTTTGCCTTTACAAAATGTCCTGTTCTTTTAATGGGGTTGCAAAGAGTAGCAAAAGTAAATATATGTGTTCAATTTGATATCTTTACTTGAAAGCTCTCTATCCTTTCTAGACTTCACTTTGCACACTGGAAGACTTCCTAAAGAGCTGCTGTCTTTTTACATTTCATAACTCATTATTAGAAAGGTAGGTATTTTTATTTAAATGAAAAACAAAATAAGTATACAGGAAATTATGAAAAAACTGTATACAACTGATAGAATGTTCTATTTTACTATATTTACTAATTAAATAACTAAGAACTTAATTTTCTCAAATTTTTCAGTATTTTGTTTCTCCAGTTTGTCCAAGAAATTGAGAAAATCTGTGATGTTTCAGTCTTCAGTATATGTTTATAAAAACTTATCATCTCCCTCCTGAAGTAGCTTCTATACTAACTAAAATAGTCTGATCTGCTCTGGATCATGTAATATGGATATGTCTCCAAAAGAGACATTAAAAAAATTATTATTCATCATATAAAGCCATCTAGACCCTCACTGGAGAAGGGCAGATTAAAAGTAAATTGAAAGGGAAAAACATTTTTTTATTTCAAAAGAAGTATATGTAGGCGAAATATTTGGTTAAGCCTGATTAGCTAGTTCAGTTATTCCTTTGCTAGTATTACAACAAAGACTTACTAGAATTTTGGGAAGGATTCATTTACCCTTTATTTACCATTTTTTAATATAACTGAAGGATTTAGAAGGGAATTTCCCTTTTTTGCTGTCTTTAAGATGTTAAAAAAAATAATGGAGTAACATTATAGAAGCTTTGGATAAACAGAACTTCCCTAAGATCCAGCAATTGCACTAGTAGGTGTTTATCCAAAGAATACAAAAATACTAATGCAAAGGGATTCATGCACCCCAATGTTTAGCAGCATTATTTACAATAGCCAAATTATGGAACAGCTCCAGTGTCCATTGACTGATGAATGGAAAAAGAAGATGCGGTATGTGTATATAATGGAATATTACTGAGCCATAAAAAAGAATGAAATCTTGCCATTTGCAATGACATGGATGGACCTAGAATATTATGCTGAGCAAAATAAGTCAGTCAGAGAAAGACAAATACCCTAGGATCTCACTCATATGTGGAATTTAAGAAACAAAAAAAGAAAAGGGAAAAAAAGAGAAAGAGAGGCAAAGAAAGAAACAGACTCTTAACTGCAGAGAACAAACTGATGGTTACCAGAGGGGAAGTGGGTGGGGGGGGTGAAATAGGTGATGGGGGATTAAGGAGCGTGCTTGTTGAGATGACCGCCAGATATTGTATGCAAGTGCTGATTCACTATATTGTACACCAGAAACTTATATTACACTATATGTTACCTAACTGAAATTTAAATAAAAACTTAAAAAAAAATCAAAACAATTCAAAAGTAGATACAGAAATGATAAAAATTTACAAAATGAACTAGCATAAATGATGCTTTCTGGATACAAACATTACCGTTTGTCTACAGATTGGACAACTGATTGCCCCAAGCCATGAACCATATCTCCAGTATGCAATAATGCAGGTACCTAATGAGGAAAAAAACCCATTAATACTGATGTTTTAAATTTTAAAACCCATGAATCCTCAGAAAGTTTCAAATATCTTAAATATTTTTATAGTATCATCTTATTTTAAAATATTTTTTATTTCATCCCTTAGGCAAATTCAAATCTAGTAACAATTCCCAGCCATTGAAAATATTTTTATTTAAACTATTAGTTAAGATAGACATTTTTATACAATCCAAAGCAAGCATGCATTAACTGCTTCAATGCTGAGACTTAATAGAAATATTGCACTTATGTAAAATAAACAAACATCATTGCAAATATGACAACCAACAAATCACAGTATAAATTTTCTGCTCCAAATTTGGTATATATGTTACAAAAACATCACTTCTATTTTTTTAAAGAATTTAGAAAGCCAAGTTACAGTGGTATAATAATAACTAAGTACCATGAGCAAGGAACCAAAGAATACAAAGATTATAGGCTGTCTGACCTAATAAAGTTTATAATCCAGTTTAATAATTGAATCAACTTTTGTACTGGACGGATTTGATTTTTCTGCTAGAAGGTGTTCATGAGCAGCAAAACAGCTTAAAGGAAAAGTTTATAGACCTCAAAAAGTGGCAGGTAAGCTAAGTGTAGAAGCACTAAAATTCAGGCCACTAACAAATGAAAAAGGAATATTTTATCTTATTCTATTTTATTTTTTTTAAAGATTTTATTTATTTGACAGAGAGAGAGCACAGGCAGGGAGGAGCAGGAGGAGGGGGAGAAGCAGAAGGGGGCTTGATCCCAGAACCCTGGGATCATGACCTGAGCCACCCAGGTACCCCAAGAAGTAATATTTTTAAATACTGTCTGATGTTTAAGGGGCAAATTCATTTCTTCTCTGCAGGACACCTATTTCTCATACAATTCAGGTCCCATTGTGAATTTGAACTAAGTGCTTTCAGCCTCCAGGATCTTTTGTTTTCTTACTCTTGTCTTAGCAACCTAGCTTAACCCTCCTGCATTCCTTATTCTGATTCTTCCAGATCAAATAAATGTCCAGAATTTAGAATAAGCAATGACAGTCAAATTGAGAAGATCAAGGTGACATAGTGAAATCAATCGGAAGGTAGTTAAATCTCAAACTGTTTACTATTAACTTTAAGTACAAAAGGAATGCAGGGAGGGAGGGAGAACTCTGGGATGCATCAGAGGGTAATTTGTAGATGAGAAAGGATTTGAATTGAACTTTGTAGGATAGAGAAGATTTAGATATAGAAAACAGGAAGTAGGATGCTCCCAGTTTTATGAATAGAAAGGAGCAAATGCCAGAAGTAGAAACAAATGCTATGTGAGGAGAATGGTGAGCAAACCAAGGGGCTAAGCAAAGGCTATCCACATTGGACATTACAGTGACTACGGGGAAAAACAGGTACGATGATTTAAAGATGAATTTAAAAGCCAAACAATATCTGGTATCTTTTCCTACTCTCAGAGTGCTGTGTTAGATAATATTTATTAATTTGAGTAATCTAATTTCACATAGAAACTCTATGAAAGCAAAACTTACAAATCTTGTATTATTATTAACATCCATAATGATGCCTCAGCTTTATCTACTACTTGTTCACTCAAAAATTCAATGTGTTTTGTCATATATTAACTTATTTAATCCCACATCTCAAGTACAGGTGTCCTTGCTTTGCAAATTATGTAATGGCCACTGACTGCACAGAAAAACTACGGTCCAGCAAATCAAATGCTCCAGTTCACACATATCTGCTATGATATGCTCAAGGTTTTCCCTTTTCTTCAGCTTTCCCCCCTATAAAAAGAGAGATCCACTTAAATAAGATGGTGGGAGAGATGACTCATTGATTTTAGTCTGGGTCATAATCTCTCTAAGTCTATTTGTAAAATGGGGTAACACTTCATAAGACTGCTGAAGAATTAAAACAATAGGGGTTACAAATGCAAGTAAGATGAAGTCAGTTGCTACTATTATTCTTAGCTCACTATAAAGGAACAGAACTTAGTTCCATATATAGAACTAAGCTAAGGTGCTCCTGATATATATACTTGAACTACTATTCAGAGAAACACATTTCTGTTTATGGAGAAGTTGAATGACTGGTTTTTTAAATCTTTGAACCTAGAGACAGTAAATAAAAGTATCTAACAAGTACGGCAGGCTATCAGAAGCAATCTACCCAATTACCTCAGACCCAGAAACCAAGAACACAATACAGCCATCTTTCAATTGACTGGGCTATCCACTCAGTGAATTACCTAAGCCGGGGATGGGAAATGGAGTTCACCTAGCCTGCCAAACCTCATTGATTCTTAACACCTGCCTGAAGTACTATGTTAAAGGATGGTTGAGGCCATATCTAGACTCGGAAAGAATGTCCAATTGATTAGGAATATCTACCAGGGCGCCCAGGTGGCTCAGATGGTTGAACATCTGCCTTCGGCTTGGCTCTGGTCATGGTCCCAGGGTCCTGGGATTGAGCCCCAGATCAAGCCCCGCATTGGGCTCCCTACTTGGCAGGGAGCCTGCTTCTCCCTCTCCTTCTACTGTCCCCCCTGCTTGTGCTCTCTTGCTCTCTCCGTCAAATAAATAAAATCTTAAAAAAAAAAAAAAAAGAAAGAAAGAAAGAAAAAAGGTATATCTACCAGAGGTTTGAGAGGCGGAAAAGTACTGCTTTCTCTGATGGCCATTTAATTCTCTCTATCCGGTATTTCATGATTTTGCTGCTCATTAGCATTCCCAACAGATAAAGATGGACACTGAAATGAGTGGTTTATAACTTGTTAGCTAACTTAGGGAAAAACCGTAGGGAAGAGGATGAAATTAATGGATGATGCAATAATGGGATTGGTCAATACTTACTAAAGGAGCATAGGTATAGAAAACCCTGCATTGCATGATATGGATTTCAAATTACTTATATCCCTAGTAATTCTATACAAACTCAAACAACAGATACAAAGGGGGAAAAGAAATTTAAAGGATCATTGTATGCTACGTTTTAAATTGTCTTAAAATGGAAAATGGGTACATTTTGGGAGCAATTAGAACCCTATCTTGAATACAGCCATTGAAACAGAAAGAAATACTATAAATAAAACAACAGGTCTAGTGAATGGATAAATGTTAAGTAGAGAGTAGTCGTAGAAGCTACTAATCACATAGCAGAACTGACCACAGGGTTTGAAGCTACATTTAAAATCTGGCTCTTTCTTTTAGCAGCTGGGTAACCCTTTGTAGAGTTTCTTAACTCAGCTTCAGTTTCCTCATATGTGGGATTCAAGGAGATGAAGGATGTTAAGTGTCCAGCACATAGTAGGCATGCAGTAACTGACTCTCCCCAATCTCATAGGACCGTAATGAGCAGTGACTATACGATATCTCATTCTTTATGAAATCTTTCTGGAGGGTCAGGAAAAACACCCAGAGGTAGAAAGCACCCCTTACTGATACTAGGCAAGTGTGCAATGTATATTCTCTTCTTGTCCTACTATATGATCTAGGTTCATCATTCTCTCTTACCACCCTCTGAGGTCATGACAAAAAACAGGCTAACAACTTTTGTGCTGATGCAGGGTACAATGGAGGTAAGAGGGCTAAAGGGAAGGTCTTGGGCAGGGTTCTTAAGAGAACCTTCCAGCCTTGGGAAGAATGAATAATAAAATGAAACTACCAAAAGGTGATAAACAATGAGGGATTCAGTGAATTCCTCATGGTATTCATATACTTGAATTACCATTCAAAGAAACACATTTCTGTTTATTAAGAAGTTGAACAACTAGTGTTTTTTAATCTTGGAGCTCACAGTCACTAAATGAAAGTGGCTAACAAGTAGAGCGGGATATCAGAAGCAATCTACCCCACTCACGTAATACGAAATGTGACATTAGGAATCCAGCCTAGTCACTTTCCCCCAATAGAGCATTGTTTGCTTACCACAAAAAAGATGCCCACAGTTTGTTTCAACAGGGAAGGCGGCTTGATGTAAACAGATTGGACAGTACATGTCAGTGTAGAACTGCTGTCGAGCAGCAGCAGGGGCATCCTGATGAGAAAATACGTATGCACAGTTATACAAAATTATCTCGAGGAATACAATTATACTTAAGGACACAGTCCAGAGTGCATAATCCTCATCAAATTTTAGATGTGCAGTAGGTTTAAAGTTTTCTAAGTTTGATAAAGTTATGAGGCTATATTATTGTTTTATTTAAGCTGCATGGTCTCTACCTTCCTTCCTGAACATGACATAAAGACAAAAACCTACATTAACTTCGGAGTTTCTCTTCCACTATGTTAGAATAAGTAAGCTATTCTGAGAAACTCAAGGCTGAGCTAATGCAAAAGCTAAAGAAATGTCAAACTGTTTCCCAAGTATTAGCTTTTAATAATTTTTAAATTTAAGTAAAATTAATTAACATATAGTGTATTATTAGTTTCAGAGGTAGAGGTCAGTGATTCACCAGTCTTATATAACACCCAGTGCTCGTTACATCATGTGCCCTCCTTAATGCCCATCACCCAGTTACCTTGTCCCCTCCATCCCCTCCCCGCTTTAACCATTTTTAACATTTTTCATTCATACATTCCTGACAAGTGTTGCATGTATGCTGTACCTCCCAAGGGTCCAGAATTAAACTTTCAAAGAAGAATACTGGTCATTTCGGAAGAAGGAAAATTTAATACACTGGTAACCTGGGCTTAATCTTTCACATGGTCAGATTAATAAATTTAATGTTCCTCAGTTATATCACTGTTGTGACTATAATAGGAATGTGGAATAGAATCACCACTACAAGAAGCATCCAGATATCAAAGGACCCACCAGAATGTATGATAGGAGGATAAGGACTTTATCTATAGGACTCATTGTGGTGACCCAGGAATTAGAAATGTACCTAACACTAGTATGTACTGTGTATCTCTTAAAACACGTATAAAAACCTATTTTTACAGCACCCAGCACACCTCTTATAAACAAAGTAGCCAGCATTAAGAACATCAAATTACAAAAAAAATTATAAAATTGGCTAAATATGAACCATTAATTGTAAACTGAATAAAAGATTTTTGTCACCCTAAATTAATAAACATAACTAAAAACCTATTTCTTAAATCAGTCCTAAAATACTAGAATATTCTATAAGCCATGGTCCACACGTTGATGTTACAGTCTTTTATATCATTTTCAATGGTGCAAAAAAGAAAAACATACAGCTCTTAATGTTCCCCTCTCTATCTTTGTCTTCATTATTATTCTTTGGAAATTAACTAAAACAAAACAAAACAACAACAAAAACCACTTGCCAGTGCTGTCCAACAGAACTTTATGCAGTAATGGAAATTTTTATCTGTGGGTATTGAGTACTTGAAAGGTGACTAGTGTAACTATAAAGTACTGAATTTTAAATTTTATTTAATTTTAATTTAAAATTAAATTAGCTACATACAGGTAGTGGCTACCATATAGGACAGCACAGAAAGGGCTAAGTCACTAGCTTTATTCTAACTAGAGCTAAATGCCATAACTGAGGAAGGTGTGAGGGAGGTGAATTGTACAGTGGTACAAAGGGATGTGGAAGATGCGACTCAGTGTGGGACTTCTGTATAGCCAGATCCATTCATGTAATGCCAGCGTGAATTTAAGTACCATCTTAGTGATCTAATATGTTAGATGGGAATGATAATTGTTGCCTTACTGACCATGTTTGTAGATTAAATAAGATAGCTGTAGGTGAAAGCATTCTGTAAATTATAAAACACTATCCCAGCATGAATTATTAATAACAGTAGCTCTGGAACAGATTACTACTAACATTCTTAAACTATTTTTGCATCAGTGAATTTAAGTTTTATGAAGGCAGGAGAATTCTTGTTTGTTTAGCTCACAACTAAATCCTCAATGCCTAGAACAGTGTCTAGCATATGGATGTTTAATAAATATTTGGTGAATGGAGAAACTGTAAAACACTCTTTGGAATTAAATTTTGGTTGGTGAGTGGGAAATCAATTTTTAATTTTTATTTTTTGATATTAGCTATTTTGGCATGAAGGTGTACAATATCCTACTTATTCCAGGCTTTATGAAATATATTACATTTCTGGTTCTTACACAGTCCATCTGGTTAAAAACACAGAAGAGAAAGAAAAGTTTTCTTCTTTCCCTAACTAGTTTTGCTAACTTTGACCACTGAAGAAAAAGAAGAGGAAAAAAAAAAAAAAGCCACCCCTTGTAGTCCTCTCTTTGTAGGTCTTCTGGGAATATGCAGGTCTTGGGGAAAAAAAAAAGTTTTTCCACTACATTTCATTAAAGCCAATTAGACAGTGATTATTTCCTCACAAATAAATAACAGGAAAACTGCTGGGGTTTTTTTGTTTGTTTTTTTGGTTTGTTTTTTGCAAATCAAAAGGTTTTTATTGAAAAATGGCCAGATCCTGCTCAATCCACGTCCCACCTCTGCACCCTGATAGCAACCAGTTTAGCTTTTTAACTTGTATTTTCTGATATTTACCTACATAATTAAAAGTCATATGCTTATACTGCTATTTCTTAATTTACCAACTTCAGACATTTACTGTCCTCCTGTTGAAATAAAGAAGGTAGCTGTATTCCAGCCCCATCCTCCTGCCCAGTATATCTGGAGCACTATTTTTAGGTAACTCAGTGATCAGCATTCCTATTAAGAAAATGTGGCTCTTCATTTCCCCCAAAGCTCTATCAGAACTGCCCTCCACCTCTCTTCCCCCACAAAAGTTCTGTCAGGTTCCATACTCTGTTTTGGGCTTCCTTTTCCCAGAAGTGTTCCCTCCCATACCACACTGCCCAGCTGTCTTCAGGAGCTCTCTTCTCCAGGGCTTTCTCCCATGTCTCTGCTTCTTGGTCCTCTGTCTCTGTTAGCTTACTCTCTGCCTTTGGAAATTCCAGTTGCTTCCTAAGAGATTGGTCAGAGGCTGTTTTTAAAGCAAGTTTTAAAAAAAAAACACTCACATAAAAACATCTGAGTAGTTAAGACTGGTCATTTACCTAATCTGAAAATATACAATCTATAGAATAATTAATAAAGCAGGAAATCAGTCCATGTTTCCAAAAAGTAATTGTTTCATCACAATTTCATATGCAAGGGCAATAATAATGTTACTCTTTATATAAGTGCACATATTTATATAACAACAGTACCTGTTCTGTTTGAAGCTGCTCCCGAAGCACCCTTACTAGCTCTTGGTTTTCTGGGTGAATGTTCTGATGTGCATTTCTGTTGAATAAAATATAATAAACTTTGAATATAAAATATTGCCAGATGAATCAGTTTTCTTTTTTTTTTTTTTTAAAGATTTTGTTTTTTTAAGTAATCCCTACATCCAATGTGGGGCTCCCACTCAGGACCCCAAGATCAAGAATCGTATGCTCTACTGACTAAACCAGCCAGATGCTCCGAATCAGTTTCTTTATGGGTCTGATTTTCAACCAAGAACTACTGATAACTTCATAAATGTAAATGATGGTATATAACTGTCTCGAATTCCAGGACCGAACATTCCAGGTTACTCTAGGAGGAGTTCTAAGATCACTGAGTATGGCCTGATTTCAGGTTCAACTGGCAAATGATGAAATCCAGAGGCCTAGTACCTTGTAGATTTGATGTAACTGCAGGCTTACAAATCATATGAAGAACAATTAACACATTTATTTCTTCTGTGAAATTCCTTCAAAATAAGCAACTATGGAATTATATTATTATGCATTTGAACACTTATCCATTTCTAATTAGATCTTTCCACCTATGAGGGGAGGGGTACAGAAAAAAACAGAAAATCAAACTGTAGCATATAGAAAAGCCCAAACCTAAAATACCACTAATATCTTAACATTAAGAATTAAAACAGAGACTCAAAGGCAAGAATTTAGTGGCTGATATAAAGGATGAGATAAGACATCTGGGTATTGGAAATCAAAAGTGGTGGTTAGGTCGCAGGGTGAGGGTGAAGATATCCATCTGATTCACAGCTTAATTCCATTTGGCTATAACAGCTTCTTCTAAACTTAAATATTTTTATTTTTTATTTATTTTTTTAAAAGATTTTGAGAGAGCAAGAGTGAGAGAAAGAGCACAGAGTGGGGGAGGGAGAGAGAGAAGTAGGCTCCCTGCTGAGCAGCGAGCCCAATTAGGGACTCGATCTCAGGACCCTGGGATCATGACCTGAGCCAAAGGCAGGCGCTTAACCGACTGAGCCACCCAGGAGCCCCTAAACTTGAACATTTTTAACAGCAATATTTTAAGTCCACAAAATCCCAGCATTACTCTATTATATAACAGCCTTTATTCTCTGGGTGAGCTAATACTCAACAGTGATAAAACCTCTAAATCAGGGGCACCTGATCAAACCCCAGAAGAGCCTGCTTCTCCCTCTCCCTCTGCTCCTCTCCCCACCTCAAATTAAATAAGATAAAATAAAATAAAATATAAATGTAATAAAGCTACTTGAACTCTATTTAAATACCTTAAATTTTGGTAGATTATTTATTTTAAATATTACTTTCTTGTGACTGAATAAACAGTCTCTGGAAGAAAGCTACTCTCTGGTGAAAACAATCTATCAGGGAACAGCACATGAACCATTTCACTGAAGTACCAGTACATATCTAACTAAACAACATTTCTCTATGACACTAGAAAACCACTCCCTTCTCATTGGAAAAAGATAGTTACTATTTTTCAGAGTATAGATATAAACCATGTAATTGGAAGGTCTTTCTTTTGGTTTCTTTCCATAAAGGAGAAGATATAAGATGGTAAAATCTGGTAGTACAATGTTAAAAAAGTCAAAGTATAACCAGAGAACATGAACAAACAGCCTGAGATGCTGAACATGGCCTATAGCTCAGGAAGTTAAATGTGATGAGCAACTATGAGTACAGAACCAAAAATGTAGAAAATAATGGGATAATTAAGACGAACTGAAAGCTAGATTAGATGGTCTTCAAAATGTGATCATCTAGGGGTGCCTGAGTGGCTCAGTTGGTTAAGCGTCTGACTCTTGGTTTCGGCTCAGGTCATGATCTCAGGGTTATGGGATGGAGCTCCGTGTTGGGCTCTGTGCTCAGTGGGGAGTCTGCTTGAGATTCTCTCTCTCTCTCTCTCCCTACTCATGTTCTCTCTAAAATAAATAAATGAATCTTTAAAAAAATGTGATCATCTCAGCTATGAGAAAATGACACTAAGTAGGTCTAAATGAAGTAAGATGTCAAGGAAAACAGTGGCTCTAATACAGAAACAAAGTACGTCATTTACTTATGACTTACGGTCCTTCGTTATTCTTTGAAATGAGAAACCAAAATTATCCAGTTATGTGGCCCTGGAAAGAAGCCAGGAAGCTCTAATATGAAGAAAGAAATGATACCCAAACCCTGGGTCAAGAAACAAAGTCTGAATCAAAGTTTACAAATGTGTAAGTCTGTGGTTTATAGGTTAAACTGCTTATGAAACCCTTTGGACTGGCTTTTGGTATGGCAACAAATGGCAACTATTCGTAAAGCTTAAGACAAAGAAATTTATCATAAGTATAATACAATGCTGAAGGAAATTAAATAAGAAACAAAAAAAGTGGAAAGACATCTTGTGTTCCCAGACTGGAAAACTTAAAATTTTTAAGATGTCAGTACTACCCAAAGTGACCTATTTACAGATTCAATGCAATTCCTGTCAAAATCCCAACAGCATTCTTTGCAAAAATAGAAAAACCCAGATCTTAGGAAGATGGCACACTAGGAGGATCCTGAGCTCACCACCTCCCACAGACACATCGAGGCAACAATTACCTTATAATATAATTCGCTCTGAAACTGACCACTGGGAAAACAGTTCCTCCACAGCTAAAGACATAAAGAGAAGTCCACATTGAGATGCGTAAGAGGAGCAGAGATGAGGTCAGGATTCAAACCCCTTGCACAGCATCCCACAAGTGGGAGGGCTATCACAGGCACAAAGGTCAACTCTGAAAAGGGAGGGGATGAAGCCTAACACTGGACACTCCCAGCCCTGGGGAACTGCACTGGAAACACAAGCCTTCATAAAGTCTAGCTTTGAAAATCAGCAGTTGAACTCCATGAGAGCTGGAGGGTTACAGGAAACCAATTCCCTGCTCTTAAAAACCCAATGTTTTATACTATCACTTGGTCTGAGAACCAGCAGAGACCAACAGTTTGAAAAGCACCTGCATTATACGTGAAGGACATTTATTAATTTTAGGGCATGTGTCAGAGAGGCAGAGATCTACAGACACTTTCTCTGGAAAAGGAAGTGCTGGTAAGGCGCCATTCTTCCTGCCTTCCTTTGGCCAAGGTAGCCGGATGGCCATGGGAGACAGTTCTGATACTCTCTACCTACCTTGCTAGCCTTGCTAGCCATGTTAGCCATGCTCGCCCCATCCCAGCATTCACCTATGGACCTGCCTTACCCAACCATCCCACCCTGGCAGGCACTCTTTCAAAATGGCTCCTATCCTGCTGCACCCAGTCAGCAGTCCTGGCTAGAACCAGCACCTGCTCCAAAGCAATTCCTGCCCCAGAGAGGGAGAAGAGCCAGGCCTGCCCACCAGCATGGCTGTACCAGTTGTGGCTGAGGCTCTCAGCTAGCTGTGCAGGAATCAGCCCCACCGACCAAAATGGCAGCAATACACATGCCCAGGCAACAAGTGAAGGGCACATGCAGCTACACAGAGAACACCACTGGAACACCTGATTCTAGTGACCAGGGAGGACTGTGCTACTGGGCCCCACAGGACACCTTCTACATAAGATAAATACCTTCAAGACCAGAAGACATAGCTGACATACTTAATACATAGAAACAAACACAGAAAATCAGAAAAAATGAGGGGACAGAGGATTATGTTCCAAACAAAAGAACAAGACAAAACCTGAAGAAAAAAACCAAACACAATGGAGATAAGTAACCTACCTAACGAAGAGTTCAAAGTAATGGTCATAAACATGTTCACTGGACTTGAGAGAAGAGTGGATGAACTCAGTGAGACCATCACAAGATAAAATATAAAAAGAACCAACCAAAGCTGAAAAATAGGGGTGCCTGGGTAGCTCAGTCGGTTAAGCGTCTGCCTTTGGCTCAGGTCATGATCTCGGGGTCCTGGGATTGAGCCCTGCTTCCAGCTCCCTGCTCAGCGAGGAGTCTGCTTCTCCCTCTCCCTCTGTCCCTTCCCTCTCCCGGTTTGTGCTCTCTGCTCTCTCTCGAGCTCTCTCTCAAATAAATAAATAAAATCTTAAAAAAAAAAAAGGCTGAAAAATACAGTAAGTGCAATAAAAAATACACTTGAGGGAATCAACAACAGATTAGAAGATGCAGAAGAACAGTTCAATGACTGGACGACAAGGTAGTGGAAAGTACCCAAGCTGAACAGAAAGAAAAAAGAATTTTTATTTTTTTAAAAGATTTTATTTATCGGGCGCCTGGGTGGCTCAGTTGGTTAAGCGACTGCCTTCGGCTCAGGTCATGATCCTGGAGTCCCTGGATCGAGTCCCACATCGGGCTCCCTGCTCGGCAGGGAGTCTGCTTTGCCTCTGACCCTATCCCCTCTCGTGTGTTCTCTCTCTCTCATTCTCTCTCTAATAAATAAAATCTTTAAAAAAAAAAAAAGATTTTATTTATCTGACACAGAGAGAGAGAGAGAGCGCACAAGCAGGGGCAGTGGCAGGAAGAGGGAGAGGAAGAAGCAGGCTCCCCGCAGAGCAGGGGGAGTTCAATGTGGGACTCGACCCAGGACCCCGGGATCATGACCTGAGCCAAAGGCAGTCCTTTAACCAACTGAGCCAGCCAGACACCCAGAAAAAAGAATTTTTAAAAAATGAGGAAAGGTCAGAGATCTCTATGACAACATACTAACAATCACATTATAGAGAGAAGAAAAAGACAAAGTGGCAGAAAACTTATTGAAGAAATAATAGCTGAAAACTTCCCTAAATTGGGGAAGGAAACAGACATCCAAGCCTAGTGAACACAGAGAGCCCCAAAAAAGATGAACCCAAGAAGGTTCACACCAAGACACATAATTAAAATGCCAAAAATTAAAGAGAAAATCATTAAAGCAGCAAGAGAAAATAAAATAGTTATATACAAGGGAAACCCCATAAGGGTATCAGCTGATTTTTCACAGATACTTTGCAGGCCAAAAATAACTGGTATGATATATTCAAACTCCTAAAGTAAAAAGCCAGAGTTGTCATTCAGAATTGAAGGAG